TTTTTTACCATATCTTCCTCCTTGTCTGAAGTCTCTAAACACAGATGCTGACTGGAATGGTTGYCGTCGTCCTGGTGGGGATGGTAGTCTGCCCATTTGGTCTATCACGTATAAAATAATTAAAAATACAATAAAACAATAAGATTTGATAGAAGTAGTATTAGATGTACAATATCTATGTTTATATAATACAGTTTGGTTTATAGGAAAATATGTTACCTGTTGGTGTAAATGCACTTGTCAATGATTGCAAACCAGAGCCAACTGTTACCTAAAAATACCAATACAGTACTTGCATTTTACTGTCCAGTAATCAATGAACAACAGAAACTTTGATACATCCAGTTTGAGCCAGATTATTTTCACTCATTTTCTCTCTCATTATTACAATACTTTGATAATAATTATATATTTATTTAAAATCATTTTTACCTGCGAATTACTTGTAGACTGGCTTCTACTCAGAGGAAATCCTGCCACACTAACACTGCTGTTTGTAACACTATCATACAGAAACAATCGTATAAATTATATAAAATAATATAAACTAACATAAATTAAATTAATCAACATTGTTTTTAGCCTAAATTTGCTTTGGCATCACAAAATAATGGTGGCAATCAATACCTTGACATAGCTGATGGTACAGAGACAGATCTAGATGACTTAGGTAAYGAGCTTAAACCTTGTTGACTACCAATATGACCTGGTGGACCTTGTAATCCTTGACCAATACCACTACGTGGACCCATCGAGAGAATTCCTCTACTGAARCAATGTAATTACAATATAATCATTAGAAGATAAGTAGATATTAAATRAATTATTTTTAAAAGCCCAGCAAAAACATGTTTTCTTGATATTGTGAAATGTTTTGTCCCATTCTAGTTTATGAACAGTAAAGACTCTATACATGACTGAAAAAAATACTAGGAGTGTCAGAAATACTAGGAGCATTATGTATTTAAGTAATGAAAACCCTATGATATTGAATACCTTCCAATCTGATTGGAGTTGGAGTTCATTCCTGGTGCGCCAACCATGGTATGTAAAGAAGACGAAGATTGTACATTAGGCATTCCTGACGAACTCACTGATGGTGGCATACCATGAGACGTTGAAGGCATTGAAATACTACGATTATATGGCTGATTCTGGGAAGACGAAAGCCCCCTTTGGCTGTTAGGAGGTCCTTGCATTGAATTGGGAGGCGCCATCCCTACAARAATCACCAAATMYGTCMATTATGCATTTTATGCATCATTTATTACTGCATTAAAGGCAAGCATAATATAGTCATAAAGCAGTAAACACCTCATTTATACATTACTACTGCAATACATGCATATAATAATTGTCTAATCTGTACCTGTATTGTGAGGTCCAGACCCATAGAAATTAGATTGTCCTGGCGATTGCATCCCTAATGATGAATATTGGTATAATTACACAAGTAATAAGGAAAAATACTACCTCAATAACCTTGTTATTATGGACATTTGAATGATTAAGACATTAGATTTTTTTATATTGAAATATAAAAAAAGTTTTTACCTGATGGCGCACCATAAAGACCACCTAAATGTTGTGATGACGATGAAAGCTGAAAACGGTATCAGTTGACAGATATTAGAAAGCTACATGTAAGACAAAGCACATATAAACAGCAACATGTTGAAATAATTAGCACCGACTGTGAATCAAATAGATTCATCTTCTTTTGTTTTAATCAGTTTTATCTTCTTATAAAAAAAGTCTCTCTTAGGATAGTGTTTCTAAAGACACAAGTGCAGTATAAAAAGACTAAATTATATACTCTAAAAGGRGAGAATGTGCACAGTTGGCATTTTGGACATCACTGCTCCAACTGAGTTTAAAGAAGGAAGGTGAACTAGGGCAATAACCAAAATATCAACAAGTCTCATATCTTTTTATACTAAAGTTTATCTTTTTATCCTTTAGTAAATATCAAACATCTACCATACCAAACTAGACTCTTTTTCTTGTCTGTGCATTGAGAAACTAGACGGGTTGAAGTACATGCCATGACCAAAGTCATCATCAATGTCTTCATAGCCAAGCTTGCTCTTTTTCATTGATCCTATGGCCTGCATATTCTTTCTGCCTCCTGGAACTAAATGGACAAGCATAATGATGAAATCCATAGTTCTTTATTCAAAGATGGGTATATAAATTGTACTTTAATTGAAWTAGTTTACCTGGTGATAGCTCCTGCTGTTTTCTTGGGAAAGGGTATCTTTAGAATGACAAAGAAAATAATTTATTATCAATATTCATTTGAGTACAAGCACCAACTAAATACTACTAAATAACACAATATAGTGTAGATTAGAGAGAACAATTAGCACCATTCATTTACGAAAGTTTTTTTTACAATTTTAGTATTTGCACTCAATTAATACAGTTTTAAAAACAACTTAAAACCAGTGTGTATAATATAGAATACACTTACTGGTTCATTCCAGCCATAAATAATCTTTCCTAGAAAATCCAACCAACAATGTACAATATCTGCTCTAAGAAAAAAGGCAAAAATAAGGTTAAAGTGTACATCACATGGACCATATCTAAGTTAATGGAGTTACATATTACATTGATGATCAAATTCAAATTTCCAACTGCATAAGGAAATACATATATCAATCAGGAGTACAGTCCAAAGCTTTTCATCAGTGSTTGTACAAACTTTTATAAAATCCTTTAACTGCATCTACAAGCACTGTCTACAAGTAATAAAGCTTACAATGTATAAGACAATTCGCTTCATTGTTGACCATTTAGCTTTCAAAGTTCTAGAATTCCTTAAAAATTAGAGAGCTTACGAAGAGATCCTCAAACATACATAAAAGATCAACAACTGAAGAAAAGCTACATTATGTATTGATACTAATCAGAGAAAATTTTAGACTACAAAATAGAAAATATTTAAAAAATATTCATTTGGGAGCGTCCATTTCCAATCACGACAGGTTCCTCATCAGAATACTATGACATAAAAGTAGGCGAAAATACCAACAAAACACTAAGATCCAAGGACTCAAGGATCCAAATTAAACATCAAATCATTAAACACTTACATAAACGATGTTATTTGCTGTAATTTCCGATGTTTTCAACTCGTATAAATCTCAATAATACAAAATCCCACTTTTCTTCATGCAACAACGCATGTCTTGTTTGACAGTCCGCTTTACCAAAGACATCGCGGGCCTTTTAGTTACCAGGTTTACGTTTCCATCCTGTCTTCAGTTTGGAACGCCTGTGGGTTTTTGAGCAGGATTGACCAGGTCCAGCCAACTTTTCGACTAAATTTAGTCTAATTTTTGGTTTCCTTTTATTTAGAAACCTCTTTTTAAGCGTCTGTTTGGTTAGATTCATTATGTCTTTGCTTTTGAGAACGCGCGGCAATCGTGCAATGCTGTTATGCGCAATACGTGGCAGCAGAGCGTTCTCCTCGGGTGTCCAGGGCGACAAGGTCTATGAGATGCGCACGTACACTGTCAAACCTGACAGATTCAGTAAGTATAATCAAAACGGAAAAAGCGACACAAAACGRCGGTTTTTGCGGTATGATAACCTCCTAGAGCCGATTTCGTATGAGTGGGACATACCGCACGGTTACCGGACCTGGCCTGCACAATTTTGGTGAACCAATGGGGCACTTGAATTTGTTTACAGTACGATTACGGTCACAGTACAGTACCGTCCGTTTCCCACTCATACGAAATCCGCTCTATAATACACCCCCACCCCACCACCACTRGGGTAGCTACCCCTCCCCTGCCATCCCGCCCTCACTGGCATGACATTGATTGGATTAATTGTGCCCATAATTCAACCATCTAATTGGTCCTAACTTTTTTTCMCAGTTGATTATCTGAGACTGACTATGGAGCATATCAGCAAGAGAACCAGTCATTCCAAACTCTGTGGGTTTTGGTCAGTGGACCTTGGTGGTACATTRAGTGAAGTGATCCACATATGGGAATATGGTAAAATACAATATGAATATGTGGAMCAAATGGC